CCCCCAATTCCCTGTCTCTAGTGATGAGGACTATTTTCTCACCCAGGTATGGGGAAGGTACTACTTCCAGAGGAATCTTTATGGCTTGCTGCATATAGGAAGAGACAGTTCATACAGCCCTTTCTGAAATTAGAATTTCTCCAGTGTTTTTAACTCGAAATAATCACCAATTTGGCATATTTTGGGATGGAATGTCATTCATTCCTTCAATATATTTATGTTAATATGTACAGAGTTTGACTTTTTTTTTTTTTGAGACAGAGTCTCACTATGTTGCCCGGGCTAGAGTGCCGTGGCGTCATCCTAGCTCACAGCAACCTCAAACTCCTGGGCTCAAGCGATCCTCCTGCCTCAGCCCTCAGTCTCCTGAGTAGCTGGGACTACAGGTGTGCACCACCGCACAGGCTAGTTCTTTTTTCTAGTTTTAGTAGAGGCTGGGTCTGCTCTTGCTCAGGCTGGTCTCAAACTCCTGAGCTCAAGCGATCCTTCCGCATCAGCCTCCCAGAGTGCTAGGATGACAGGCGCGAGCCACCATGCCTGGCCAGTGTTTGTGTTTTGATGCTCTCCAGAGCAAATAGTAGGTTGAGTATCCCTTATCTGAAATGCTTGGGACCAGGGAGTTTCTGATTTCGGATTTTGGAGTATTTGCGTGTACATAATGAGATATATTGAGGGTAGGACCCAAGTCTAAACACAAAATCCATTTATATTTCATGTTTACCTTATACACATAGCGTGAAGGTAATTTTATACAATATCTTAAATAATTTTGTGCATGAAACAAAGTTTTGACTGCGTTTTTGACCAGATGAGGACAGATACGGAATTTTATACTTGTGGTGTCTTGTTGGCACTCAGAAAGTTTCAGATTTTGTAGCCTCTCAAATTACAGGTTAAGGATGTTCAACCTGTATTTGCACATATGACTCATGTGCCTCAATAATGATTGTTATAATTTTGTGACAATTATTGGGGGAGGCTAAGAGTTTCAGAGTGTAACAGTTTAAACTTTTGGGCTTGGATTTCAGATCTGCTACTTTCTCCTATATGATTTTGTTGCCTTTTCTCTTTTAACCTTAGTTTATCAATAAAATAGTGATATACTATTATGTGTCTCTCAAGGTTATTGTGAGGGTTAAATGT